TGTCACCCTGCAGAGATGATACTCTATTACCTGGCCACTCTTCTGCCACTTCCCAGGGGGGAAATGATAAGACACTGACTCTATTATTTTTAGCCTTTTCCTCGTGAGCTATAGGCTCTCACCACAGCATCTCACCTCAACAATGTCTGCACAAGAAGCTGAGCTATAGGCTCTCACCACAGCATGCAAGATCTCTGAAGGAAGACACGTCAATATCTACTCTGACACAAGGTATGCACTAGGTGAGGCACATGACTTCAGAATGAATCTGGAAGTAAGAAGATTTCTTACAGCAACTGGCACGCCAGTTAAGTACAGCATGGCTAAAAAGAGCTGATGGATGCCCTACACCTTCCCGAAGAAGTGGCCGTACTGAAGATAAAGGCTCATGGAAGACTGAACTCTGAAGCATGTGGCAACTATCTGGCTGACCAAGTTGTCCAATAAGTTGTAAGTGCACTAAGGGAAGTGGACAGAAGAGTGTCTGCTGAAGAAACTCCCATATTCACCATGTAAGATCTTACCCACAGACCTCAAGCTCCTGAAGGAATAACAAGCAGCTACTGACCCTGAAAAAAAACACAAGCTGGAATCAGAAAGGGGCAACCCTTAAAGACGGGCTGTACTTCAACAATCTCAAGTTCTGCTTACCCAAGAACATATACTCAGCAGTGGTCCAGTGGGCCTACAGAGCATGATATCTGTCCAGAACCCTCATGAACTCTTTTGATCAATAAATACTCTGAAGTACCAGGAGTTGCCTCTCTGACCAACAGTTACTGTAGATCTTGTGCCATTTGTGCCAAGGGCAACTCAGGAAGAATGGAGGAAAGCCCCAAGCATCTAGCCAAACCTCATTATCTCTTCCAGAGGAGTCAAGTTGACTACATCCAGAATGCCAAAGAGTGGCTGGTTCAAATATGCACTAATTATAGTAGACATGTTTTCAGGATGGCCAGAGGCCTATCCAGCCACCAAAGTGATAACCAAGACCACATGCTGAGTAGTGCACCGTGAAAGTTACAGAGATCACCCCGTGGATTCATCATTCCAGAATCAAGCCTGCCTCTGCTTCATGTGAAGTAGCATTTGTTGATCTTGACAACCCTTTTTGAAACTCCATTCTTAGAGAGCAAAGATACTTGTTGAAAAAAAATATCAACATGTGGGTGTTTTGATGGCCATAATAATGCCTGACCACCTGCCATCGATGGAAAGCCGAATACCCCAAAAGGGGACCTTGTGAAACTAAAGAGAAACAGACATACTCCTTACCCTGCAGCCCACACGTCTGAGGTGCCTATGCACAGTCAAAGCTTCTTCAGGATCATCTGCTTATCTTGAGTTTGTGGTGATATTAATATTGAATGTTTAAATGATCTGAGTCTGCCAGTACTAGGGTAGCATGAGACAAGATTTCTAAGATTAAGAATAAGTAAATGTGCCCTACCCAAGGTTATTATGTCCATACACATAATACATGACAATCACCAAGGTACTCTTGACACACCACATTCATGCTTCAGGACAAAAAGGAGCACCCCTATAAAAGGTGGTTTTACCCACACATATATGTATTAATGCCATAGGGGTGTCAAGGGGGGTACCAAATGATTTTAAGGTAAGAAACTAAGTTTGAATCTATTCTCCCAAGCATTACAGCTAATAAAATCTGAATTGAAAGGGAGGAGGTTCATACAATAAACAGGAGACCTTTTACTTACGGGACATGTAAGACTCACCTGAATGGGTAGGTGCCAAGCACATGACTGTTAATCCCCTCAAACCACACATTAGGACTTTAAAAGACATGGTAGTCATCCCATATTTGAGGATACTATGGCTGTAGAGACAGGTTTCTCTTACACTAACTTGTGGCTTGAATGGATGAAATACAATGCTACTAAACATAACAAGTCTAACTGCTATGTCTGCGGAGGAGCGAGGCCTCATCCAGGTACTGTATCCCTGAACCTTCCTCCAGATATGAAGTATGCTTTTTAAGTCTCTACACTGTATTTAAACCTAAGCGGTCAGCATGCGAGTCATGGAAAATGAATACCCAATCATTACTAAAAATATTAACCCAGACGAAAGCATTACTATATATCCAGGGAACTATACTTGTTATGGGATATATGGTGGGATAGGACGGTTACAAGCTACCATTCAGATGACCTTCCAGAATAGAATAACCT